GAGTCTTTCAGTCAATTGTGTTGATACAACAAACACATCCAAAGTAATACAGTTCTACAGAAAGTGATTAATTGAAGAAAAACTACCAAGAGGTGGATTAATTAAACACAACAAACCATCAGTGTTGTTCCAGTTCACAGCTTTTCTGAACTAGTTCAAGTTCAGTTCATACATGCTCAAAGTGAACAGTTCACGTTCAAAGTTCATATTTTTAATTCTGAACTAGTTCAAAGTTCAGTTCATTTTACTTTTTTCGTGAGATACTTAAATACATATGTTTTTCACACTACGAGCTATATATATATATATATATATATATCTCCTGTACACCCACAGGAGGAGAGCCTTTTGACTACAAAACAGACAAGATTTACATGGTTTTCAATGGGAGCCAAACAGAGTTGTCCCATCTCTGCTCATAAACTACAGACAGTAATGCGCTGCAGTGCGTGTGTCTATACTTTATGTCAAATGTAAACGGTGTAAACTTTGTCGCTAACTCACCCTGTGTTTTCATCACGACTTGGGCACATGTGAAAAGCACCAGCTCACAGCGCCGCACCGCAACACAGAGTCGGGTTGCGTTCACAGACGGTGGAAACCATAGGAATTGTTAGATTTCGGCGGAAAAAGTGTGAGAATACAGGAGGGAGGAACTGTCTCTCGTTGCGTTTCAAAAGAGAAAACCGATTCCAACGTTCATAGTGATGTCTGCCGTTCATGACACATAAAATGAACTAATTCACGTTCAAGTTCTTTTTTTAAAAATGTGTTCCGTTCAGTTCAACGTTCACGAAAAAATGAGCGTGTTCAATTAACGCGTTCTTTTGAACTCGTTCACGCACAACACTGCAAACCATTTATTCCCAATAAATAAATACATTTACTTTGCAACACAAAAGTTATTATGGGTAAGCACTTTGACAGTCCTGTCTGTTTTTTAAAATATGCTATATAAATAAACTTGACCTTGATCAGTTAATGAATGCAAAATAACTTTCTTCAGCTAAAAGCAAAACTTAAATTATAGTCTTTTGTCCAAACAAAGAGAGAGAGTTATCTTATTTCTCTCCCTAAAACCTTCAAATCAGGTCAGAAATGTAGGAGTGATAATAGACAAACACTTAAACAGCCACATCAAATAAGTAACATTAGCAGCTTTTGACCATCTGAAGAGCCTAAAGCATTTGTCTGCAGTAGGTTGGACTGCTGTAATGGCCCCCCTGGTGGTCAGGTCGGGTATTGTAGCTCTGAGTGTAATATTACTATATGAAATAAACTGCTTACTTGCACGAAAACGGTGAAGATTTTCTAACTTTTTTGCGATGATTATATAACTTCAATCCATCCAGATTAGGAAATGACATGGTAGAACTCTGTGCGATGAAAATCCAGGGACTAGTACGAAGCCAAAAATGCGACACCTTGAACTGCCTGTAGGTGGCGCTGTTGCACTCACAGTTGTGTGTGTGTGTATATTGTTGTGTTCAGGGTCATACGCTGTATTACTGAATTCATTTTTAGCCTCATCGGACAAACATTTTGCCCCAAAAAGCTCATTCATTCACTTTCCGGCACCCCCGGTGGTCAGGTGTGGGACTTACAACTTTTGCGTAATGCAATTTTTTGCTCGTCTCGGTCCAGAGACTATACTCAGCAATTTTCGGGCCGATCCGAGCACTAGTGCCCTATTACTTTCCGACAGGTGGCGCTAAAGAGCTCAAATTGGGCGAATGATTTTAGTGTCATTGCGTTCAGGCCATAACCTAATATTACTGATGTGAGTCTCAGCTCTGTAGGTCTGAGCCTGTGGCCCTCAGGGCTCAGCGAAAATGGCCAAAACGAAGGCCTTATTTGCCATGGCGAGGGACGAAAACGGTGAAGATTTTCTAACTTTTTTTCGATGATTATATAACTTCAATCCGTCCAGATTAGGAAATGACGTGGTAGAACTCTGTGTGATGAAAAACCAGGGACTAGTTCGAATTTCTAAATGAAAAGTCAAATTAGTGGCGAAACTTCGGCCCATCATGGCCGACTTCCTGTTGATCCCAGACATGTGCTTAGACCGGCTTTTATGCTCGTCTCATAGAGATCTATCACTCCTCCGAATTTTGTGTACCTACTCCAAAATATGCAATCCTGCCTCCAATAGAAATGGCAAATTTTGAAATTTCAAGGGGGCGCTATTGATTCGCCTTTTGTCAGACAATCTGGAAACGTCCGTTTTATCAAATTTTTCGCCGGACCGGTCGTTTTAGACCCCCCATGTGCAGACTTTCGTGCATGTCTTCAGGGTCAAAAATCGAATTGAAGATGCGGAAAAAAAAGAATAATAATAATATGAAACCGGTGAATAACAATAGGCCTCCCCAATACTTCGTATTGGCTCGGCCTAATAATATGAAACCGGTGAATAACAATAGGCCTCCCCAATACTTCGTATTGGCTCGGCCTAATAATAATATGAAACCGGTGAATAACAATAGGCCTCCCCAATACTTCGTATTGGCTCGGCCTAATAATAATATGAAACCGGTGAATAACAATAGGCCTCCCCAATACTTCGTATTGGCTCGGCCTAATAATAATAATATGAAACCGGTGAATAACAATAGGCCTCCCCAATACTTCGTATTGGCTCGGCCTAATTAAGAAACACTCAGACCTCACGCACTCACACACCACGTATACAGTGGGGCAAAAAAGTATTTAGTCAGCCACCGATTGTGCGAAGTTCTCCCACTTAAAATAATGACAGAGGTCTGTAATTTTCATCATAGGTTCACTTCAACTGTGAGAGACAGAATGTGAAAAAAAAAAATCCAGAAATACACATTGTAGGATTTTTAAAGAATTTATTTGTAAATTATGGTGGAAAATAAGTATTTGGTCAGTTCAAACAAGGAATATCTCTGGCTCTCACAGACCTGTAACGTCTTCTTTAAGAAGCTCTTCTGTCCTCCACTCGTTACCTGTATTAATGGCACCTGTTTGAACTCGTTATCTGTATAAAAGACACCTGTCCACAGCCTCAAACAGTCAAGACTCCAAACTCCACTATGGCCAAGACCAAAGAGCTGTCGAAGGACACCAGGAAAAGAATTGTAGACCTGCACTAGACTGGGAAGAGTGAATCTACAATAGGCAAGCAGCTTGGTGTGAACAAATCAACTGTGGGAGCAATTATCAGAAAATGGAAGACATGCAAGACCACTTATAATCTCCCTCGATCTGGGGCTCCACGCAAGATCTCATCCCGTGGGGTCAAAATGATCACGAGAACGGTAATCAAAAATCCCAGAACCACACGAGGGGGACCTGGTGAATGACCTGCAGAGAGCTGGGACCAAAGTAACAAAGGGGACCATCAGTAACCTTGCTGAAGCCAATGCATGTCCAGGCCCGTCTGAAGTTTGCCAGAGAGCACACGGATGATACAGCAGAGGATTGGGAGAATGTCATGTGGTCAGATGAAACCAAAGTAGAACTGTTTGGTATAAACTCAACCAAGAACACCATACCTACTGTGAAGCATGGGGGTGGAAACGTCATGCTTTGGGGCTGTTTTTCTGCTAAGGGGACAGGACAACTGATCCATGTTAAGGAAAGAATGAATGGGGCCATGTATTGTGAGATTTTGAGCCAAAACCTCCTTCCATCAGTGAGAGCTTTGAAGATGAAACGTGGCTGGGTCTTCCAGCATGACAATGATCCCAAACACACCGCCCGGACAACGAAGGAGTGGCTCCGTAGGAAGCATTTGAAAGTCCTGGAGTGGCCTAGCCAGTCTCCAGACCTCAACCCCATTGAAAATCTGTGGAGGGAGTTGAAAGTGCGTTTTGCTCGGCGACAGCCCCAAAACATCACTGCTATTGAGAAGATCTGCATGGAGGAATGGGCCAAAATATCAGCTACTCTGTGTGCAAACTGGTAAAGACCTATAGTAATGGTTTGACCTCTGTTATTGCCAACAAAGGTTGTATTACAAAGTATTGAGTTGAATTTTTGTTATTGACCAAATACTTATTTTCCACCATAATTTACAAATACATTCTTTAAAAATCCTACAATATGAATTCCTGGATTTTTTTTTTCACATTTTGTCTCTCACAGTTGAAGTGTGGGAGAACTTGCACAATCGGTGGCTGACTAAATACTTACTAATAATATATATACAGTATATTTAGTAATCTTTCAGTACTTTTTATTTATATACCGCCTTTTCACTGCAAATCAGAGTCTGAAAGCGGTTTACAATTGTTATTTTTGGGCATTTGTCTCTCACTCCTCACAGAGATAGGAGCAGGGGCGCCAGTACAGGAGGCACATGCCAGATCTATTGTGCATGTTTTTAGTGATAGGGGAAACCGGAGTACCCGGAGGGAACCTACACAGACACGGGGAGAGAACATGCAAACTCCACTCAGAAAGGCCTTGGTCCAACCGGGATTTGAACCCAGGACCTTCTTGCTGAGAGGTGAGAGTGCTATCCACTATATATATCTATATATAGATATATAGATATATATAATATAATATACAGTATATATGATTTCTAGCTCTTAGTGTGAAAAAAATTCTCATGAAAAAATGAAAATGAACTTAACTTTCAACTAGTTCAGAATTAAAATTGTGAACTTTGAACGTGAACTGTTCACTTTGAGCATGTATGAACTGAACTTGAACTAGTTCAGAAAAGCTGTGAACTGGCACAACACTGTGCAGCAGTAAACTCGGGGTCTGCTCTCACACAGTAGCAGTGTGGTTTCACAAACTTTACACGAAACTCTTACTCTTAAAACCCACATATCACAACGCGGAACCATCAACATCTAGCCTCAAATTGCATTAAAAGTGACATTCGTGTCTTAATTTGTTCGTATTTTAACTTTTAAAGCAAATGTCCGCCATCTTGGTTTGCTTCGTGTGTGTGTGTGTGTGTGTGTGTGTGTGTGATTCTGGAAGCTATGGACTGTAGGAAGTCTCCCTTCTCCGTGTCAAGAGGCTGTTACTTTGTAGGTGATGCCTCCTTTGAAGTAGCTGGTGAAGGCGGTGGACTCCACGCCCTGCAGCTCTCTGTACAGGGCAGGCTTCCCTCCCAGGTGGTCGTCCAGCTGCACGGTGAAGATGGTCGCCGCCGTGCTCTCGTCCTGACTGCACTCCTTTCCTGTAATCAGAAGGAACAGGACATCAACTTCGGAAACCACACATGTGGTCGAAACAGAGAGTCCTGTGAGAGTGCTTTTTAAAATGTGTTAGATGACATTTTGAAATACAGATTCTATTTTTTTTTTCTCTTGGTTTATAAGATGAACTGTCCATAGACCCTTACTGATGCAAATGTGTCTATGGACAGTGATGATGAGGGACATTTACAGTATTAACATTTATGAACAGTGGTCCTCCTACTCCCTATGGACCAATGGCTCCTTTGTGTTTGTGATTATTGCATTTCTGTTTGAGTCTGATCTTCTCCAAGACGACTGCTGTTGTGATTTAGGGCAATACAAAAAAAAAAAGTGAATTGAATTGAAACAGGATATACCAAGCTTTCAGATAAATGGTAGGTGGCACTAAGAATTTTGATGCACACCTATACATGCTTAGGTTGTGCTATAATTATTATTTTCTAGATATACATTGATCCTTAAATTTATATCATATCAATAATTTATTTTATAATATATATGTTATATTCTTACATTTGTTGTATTTTTGTATAATTCAATTTTTTGATTTATGGAAATGTTGTAATAGTCCCACATATTGCAAAAAAATAAAAAGCATGTAACTGAAGATTTGTCAACATTCAATCTTTGATGGAAGAGAAATGTACCTATAAGGTTTTTTGTTCAAAAGCTTTTACTGAATTAAATCAGCCCCAGAAGCAGAAAGACACAGAATACAGAAGAAAATGTCTACACTAATCGGTTCTTGCACTTTGTTGAGCAAATCACCACCACATTTATTCCCAAGACAACTTTTCACATTAATATTTCACTTTCAAAGTACCTAATATCTGCAGAAAAGTGTAGCATTAGCCTAACCCAACACACATGTGACATGTGAATTGTCAGACAGAACAGAGAAAGTCATATGCAGAAGCAGCCCACAGGAAGCGACTGCAGCCGCACGCCACAAGTCAGATAAAGACCTTACAAATCCTGTACATAATCCTGTACGAGAGTGTTTAGAAACACCAGAAGACAGTTCTTTGGGTATTTTTTATATATACTGTATATACTAGACACCATGGACAACACTAATATGAAAACAGTGACGTCGCCCGGCATGGCGCAGCCGGGGCCCCACCCTGGAGCCAGGCCTGGGGTCGGGGCCCGTATGCGAGCGCCTGGTGGCCGGGCCTTAGCCCACGGGGCCCGGCCGGGCTCAGCCCGAAGGGATGACGTGGGCAGTCCCTCCTGTGGGCCCACCACCTGCAGAGGGGTCCGTGGTGAAGCGGTGCTGAGAGGACTGGGCGGCAGTCGAAGGCGGAGACCTCGGCGACCCAGTCCACACACACAACATCTGGCTCTTGGGACGTGGAACGTCACCTCACTGGGGGGGAAGGAGCCCGAGCTCGTGGGGGAGGTTGAGCGATACCGACTAGAGATAGTCGGCCTCACCTCCACACACAGCTTGGGCTCTGGAACCCAACTCCTTGAGAGGGGTTGGACGCTCCACTTTTCTGGAGTTCCCCGCGGGGAGAGGCGGCGAGCTGGGGTGGCCATTCTCATTGCCCCCCATCTCAGCCGCCACGTGTTGGAGTTCTCCCCGGTGAATGAGAGGGTCGCGTCCCTCCGCCTCCGGGTGGGGGACAAGTCTCTCATTGTTGTGACGGCCTACGGGCCTAACAGCAGTGTAGAGTATCCGACCTTCTTGGAGTCCTTGGGAGGGGTACTGGACGGTGCACCGCCCGGGGACTCCGTTATTCTCCTGGGGGACTTCAACGCCCATGTGGGAAACGCCAGTGACACTTGGAGAGGGGTGATTGGGAAGAACGGCCCCCCTGATCTGAACCCGAGCGGTGCTCAGTTGTTGGACTTCTGTGCCAGTCACGGTTTGTCCATCACGAACACCATGTTCGAGCACAAGGGTGTCCACCAGTGCACGTGGCACCAGGACACCCTAGGCCGGAGGTCGAGGATCGACTTTGTTGTCGTATCATCTGACCTTCGACCGCGTGTCTCGGACACTCGGGTAAAGAGAGGGGCGGAGCTGTCAACCGATCATCACCTGGTCGTGAGTTGGATCCGCTGGCAGGGGAAGAAGCCGGTCAGACCTGGCAGACCCAAGCGTATAGTGAGGGTCTGCTGGGAACGTCTCGCTGAACCCCCTGTCAGACGGACTTTCAACTCACACCTCCGGGAGAGTTTCTCCCAGGTCCCGGCGGAGGAGGGGGACATGGAGTCCGAGTGGACCATGTTCTCTGCCTCAATCGCCGATGCGGCGGCTCGTAGCTGTGGTCGCAAGGTCTCTGGTGCTGGTCCCGGCGGCAACCCCCGAACCCGGTGGTGGACACCGGCAGTAAGGGATGCTGTCAGGCTGAAGAAGGAGTCCTATCGAGCCATGATGGTTCGGGGGACTTCTGAGGCAGCTGTCCAGTACCGGCAGGCCAAGCGTGCCGCGGCCCGGGCTGTTGCAGAGGCAAAAACCCGGGACTGGGAGGAGTTCGGAGAGTCCATGGAGCATGACTATCGGTCGGCCTCGAAGAGATTCTGGCAAACCATCCGGCGCCTCAGGAGGGGGAAGCGGTTCTTTGCCAACACCATGTACGGTGCGGGTGGAGAGCTGCTGACCTCGACTGGGGATATTGTCGGGCGGTGGAAGGAATACTTTGAGGTTCTCCTCAATCCCCCCGTCACGTCCTCTGTTACAGAGGCAGAGGCTGAGGATGTTGGGGCGGGTACATCCATCTCCCTGGCTGAGGTCACCAAGGTGGTTGGTAGCCTCCATGGTGGCAAGGCTCCGGGAGTGGATGAGATCCGCCCTGATTATCTAAAGTCTCTGGATGTTGTAGGACTGTCTTGGCTGACACGTCTCTGCAACATCGCGTGGCGATCGGGGGTAGTGCCAATGGAGTGGCAGACTGGGGTGGTGGTCCCTCTCTACAAGAAGGGGGACCGGAGGGTGTGTTCCAATTATCGTGGGATCACACTCCTCAGCCTCCCCGGTAAGGTCTACTCCAAGGTACTGGAGAGGAGGTTACGGCCGATGGTCGAATCTCGGATCCAGGAGGAGCAGTGTGGTTTTCGTCCCGGTCGCGGAACACTGGACCAGCTCTATACTCTCCATCGGATACTCGAGGGTTCATGGGAGTTCGCCCAACCTGTCCACATGTGCTTTGTAGATTTGGAGAAGGCGTTCGACTGTGTTCCCCGGGGTGTCCTTTGGGGGGTTCTCCGGGAGTACGGGGTCGGAGGTCCTCTGCTGAGGGCCATCCGATCCCTGTATGACCAGAGCCAGAGCTGTGTTCGCATTGCCGGCAGTAAGTCAGACCTGTTCCCGGTGAATGTTGGCCTCCGACAGGGCTGCCCTTTGTCACCGGTTCTGTTCACTGTATTTATGGACAGAATATCTAGGCGCAGCCAGGGGACGGAGGGGGTCCGGTTCGGAGACCACAGGATTTCATCTCTGCTGTTTGCGGACGATGTTGTCCTGTTGGCTCCAACGAACCAGGACCTGCAGCATGCACTGGGACGGTTTGCAGCCGAGTGTGAAGCGGCTGGGATGAGAATCAGCACCTCCAAATCCGAGGCCATGGTGCTCGACCGTAAAAAGGTGCCTTGCCCTCTGCAGGTGGGTGGAGAGGTCCTTCCTCAAGTGGAGGAGTTCAACTATCTCGGGGTCTTGTTCACGAGTGAGGGAAGAATGGAGCGTGAGATTGACAGGCGGATCGGTGCAGCGTGCGCAGTTATGCGGTCGCTGTATCGGACCGTTGTGATGAAGAGGGAGCTGAGCCGAAAGGCAAAGCTCTCGATTTACCGGTCAATCTTCGTTCCCTCCCTCACCTATGGTCATGAGCTTTGGGTAATGACCGAAAGAACGAGATCGCGGATACAAGCGGTCGAAATGAGCTTCCTCCGCAGAGTGGCTGGGCGCTCCCTTAGAGATAGGGTGAGGAGCTCAGTCACACGGGAGGAGCTCGGAGTAGAACCGCTGCTTCTCCACGTCGAGAGGAACCAGTTGAGGTGGCTCGGGCATCTGTTCCGGATGCCTCCTGGACGCCTCCCTGGGGAGGTGTTCCGGGCACGTCCCACCGGGAGGAGGCCCCGTGGAAGACCCAGGACACGCTGGAGGGACTATGTCTCTCAGCTGGCCTGGGAACGCCTTGGGGTCCCCCCGAACGAGCTGGAGGAAGTGTGTGTGGATAGGGAAGTCTGGGCGTCTCTGCTTAGACTGCTGCCCCCGCGACCCGGCAACGGATAAAGCGGAAGAAAATGGATGGATGGATGGATGGATGGATATATACTAGATAGCAGCTGTAGCTAAATTTGATTATGTTTTTGTTTTTTTTACACTAAACTGCAGAAATGTATTCACTCGCTCGTGACACGCCATCACTCCAGCGTGTTTATGATTCACCACATTTCCACTGAGCGCTGCTGATAGTGCGACAGGAAGTTCTCCAAATGCATCGGTAATGTTCAATGATTCATTACAGACCCCACAACATAAGGAGCAAAGTCCAATTATATTGACTTTTGGAGGCAGGTTCCTCTGTCAAGAGGAGATGGATTTGTTAACATAATATCATGGAATATTATTCAGCAAAAGGAGAGCATTTGCATGTATGTATACTGAGACAAGTGAGGTCTGCATCTATACTGAGACACGAGTGGCCTGCGTGATGAGGGAGACCAGGGAGATGAGGGAGACCAGGGAGATGAGGGAGACCAGGGAGATGAGGGGGGCCATCACCATTTTGTTTGGAAGAGATTAAATGTAAATTAAGTTTGAACACTTACTACATCTTGCCTGCACTAACTCTCAGCACACCGATAAAACCACTTTATTGTATATGCACAATGCTCCGCATTGGCTCCTCCTCGGTGTTCTGGAGAGCGTTGTTACTTTTTATCAAAGAATGGAAAAGTGTGGCTACAGTGGTGAGTTTCTTAAGGAACAGGAAAAGCTTGCTTTTAGAATTTTCCCATTAGACTAGTTTTGGGTATAATGATGTGTATGTGAGTATGTGAGTGTGGTGTATGTGAGTATGTGAGAGTGTGTCTGTGAGTGTGGTGTATGTGAGTATGTGTGTATGTATATATCTGAGTATTTGAGAGTGTGTTTATGTGAGTGCATGTCCGTGTGTGTATAAGTATGTATGTGTTTAAGCATATTTAAGTAGTAAAACCATGCAGCAGACAGAGGCACAATAGTGATGAATACAGGCTGTGAATCATCTGCATGTTTTATACCTTCATAATATAAAATTATTACATGTCTTAAGAAATTCATTTTTTTATTAAGAACGATAATGACAATTCATCGGTTTTATATAGCGCTTTTCTGGACACTCAAACATTATTCATCCTCTCCGCACACAATGGTGGCAAACTATTACTGTAGTCACAGCAGCCCTGGGGCACACTGAAAGAAGTGAGGCTACAAATTTGAGTCATCAACCCCGCCAACCACCACCAATCATTCACGCAAACACACACACAATACTATGCAATGTGGGTGAAGTGTCAGCCTCCCCACTGTGTTCCCAGTGGTCTCCCATCACAGTACTAACCAGGCCCTGCCCTACTTAGGTAACATGTATTTTTTAAACTATAATAAAAATTAAAAATCCATTTTAAAAAACAGCTTCTAGTGTTTTGTTTTTTATTCAGAATGGCCGTTTCTTGTCACAATCACTAATTATGAACCTATAGTTAAATAAGTAATCCTTATTTATATACTGCCTTTCACAGACCAGTCACAAAGCGCTTTACAATTGTGGGCAGTTGTCTCTCACTCCACACAGAGATGGCAGCAGGGTTGCCATACAGGACGCACACGCCAGACCTATTGTACATGTTTGTAGTGGTAGGGGAAATCGGAGCACCCGGAGGAAACCGGAGCAGACATGAGGAGAACATAAAGCCCCACTCAGAAAGGCCCCTTTTTGACCAGGATTCGAACCTGTAGGACCTTCTTGCTGAGAAGCGAGAGTGCTAACCTAAGAGAGTTATCTGGACACTGACACAGGAGCCGTGTGGTTTGGAAAAGACACAAGAACATGACACACCATAGGAAGAAAGTGCTAAGTGCATTGGTCTTTTAGCAGCCACTTCCTGGTCTAGTAAATCCATTAAACAGCACAGATTTACAAACACTAATGAGATGAACTGTGATGTTCATAAACAGTTTTTCCATTTACACAAAATCCTAATGGAAACACTAAATATCCCAGCAGCACAAAGGAAATGCTCCAGACTGTCCTGGAGGAGTCCGTGTCTATGTAAATCCACCCACTTTGCCTAACGTTGCAAAGGAGGGCATTTCACTGACGCCAGGACCAATGAGAGAGATCTCGGGACATTGGTAATCTGCCCCTTGTGGACCAACACCAATGTGTTTTCTAGCATTGCATTAACGGTTTGATTCACTGATCTGTGTTTGCAAATTTAAAGGTTGTGTTAAGTCCTCTGACATAACTACTGTTGTGAAAAAGGGCTTTACAAGAAATACAAAATATTGAATTGAATTGATTGTGCACTGTACAAGAGACATTGGTTGCATATAAACGGTAAATGGAAAATGTCTGATTTGTTTAAAGCTATGTGGGACATTCCTAAGAAGAGCGACTTTGAAAATTTTGAGACAGTTTAACAAAAAAGCTGCAAAACCAGTCGCATTCCATCTGTGGAACTTCAAAGTTGACCTTGAAAACCCAAGACAAGGCCAAGGACTTTCATTATTATTTTTAATCATGTTACAACATTGTTCCTCGTCAGTCACAGACCGAGAGTTGTTTTTAGATCTATCCATGCTAAAACTAATGCTATAGTGTTATGATTTTGTTACAACTGCAGGTCTGAGTTTGCAAATGGCCATTTTAAGATTTGGAAAAAACACTGTAGGATTTTGCATTCTAAAACATGAAGTAAATTGTCTCATCAAATTTAATGGACACAAATAATGCATTCGACTTTTTCTTTTCAGAGTCAGTGCCGGTTTTTTACCACAAATTTTACATCACACCTCTGCCTTAGAATTCTTGATGATGACCACCTGACTCACTCTCCCCACCACTCCTGTTAACTGGGTAAAAAAAATAAATAAAGCCTCTAGGTCCTGTAAGCAACATCATCAGATTTAGATTCAGATTTATTTATCCGACCAGGGGCGATTCATTTCAGCTGCATAGGGCATAACAACACATGAACACAGAAAATGCCTCACAAACTATAAGCAACATGAAGCGGAGCCCATACACACAGATGAACCCAACAATACAACAACACAAGCTCAAAAACACACTCAAGTCCGGATTACCAACTAGCTACAAACTACTACGTGACCATTAAGAACATTTTACTTTTCCCCCCAAAGGTATTACAATTTTTGACTGATTTTATTACATTTAAGCAATTTATTCATTTAACTGCATTTATTTGAAGGTATAGAAGTATTTTCTACTTCCGGGTGGATAATCAAGACAATTGGTCCTCCTAATTGTCATTTATTCTGGTGATACGTGCTTGTCAAATAAGACAAGAGTTTTGTTCAAAAAGTGGAGAGGGCGGTTCTTTCCAAAAATTTTGGAAAAACCTTTAATAAAATGAAATGACCCCAAACACATGCACCCAGCCCTTGGACATCAGTCACATGTTAGCAAGCCTCTTTGTCTCTGTGTCTCTTGTCGTTACCCAGCCAGAAGTGCAGTTGGTAGAAGTATGTGTCCCTCTGTTTGGCCGTGTTGAGGATCACATAGGCATCTCCCGTGTAGAAGCTTCCATGCAGACTGTCCGGCACGGCCACCAGCTCCATGTTCTCAATCCTCCAGATGTGAAGCCCCACCTGCTGGGCCTTGGAGAACTCCTTGTGCTGCACCATGGTTCAGCTGGGAGTCACTAAGGCTGTTTATCGAACAGGAAAAAGCTCTGAGGATGTGAGAGCAGCAGCAGCAGCAGTCACAGTTACACCTCTGTTCTGCTTCAGCTTGTTGTCAGTAAAGGATTTATAGACTGAGTGGGTGTGGCCAAGAGCCATACACAGGAGAAGGAAGAGGCAAATGTGCAGGGAAATCACGAGGAAAGGAAGGCTGCATTTAAAGAGGATGAAACATGTAAACAAACTTTTTGTCTAAGGTAATAATGCGTTGGGTTTGGTTTTACTAGGTCTGTATGGACTTTCAGGTGGGCAATATATTGACAATTAGATCATGCCTTGATAGTTGTTTACAGGGTTAGGGAGTAACAGAATACATGTAATCCCATTTCGTTCCCATTCAGAGTACTCTTTCTGAGAAACTATATTCCCTTACTTTAAAGTCTAGTAATTAGAATACAGTTACTTTCTGAAAATTAGGGGAATACATTCTTTCACCTTTTTCAAGTTTTGTAATTAAACATTAAACATTTTTCAATAAAGTAATACAGGTACTACTTTTTCCAAAGTAACAGAATACTATATATTAAGATATATATATATATATATATACATTAAAATATATATGCATGTATCGTGGAGGAGAAATACTCAGAGGAGAGTGCGTGATGCTCTGGCCATTGTTCTGGTGTTGAGAGAGGGACGGGTGGTCAGAGAGTGATTGGGCCAGTGTGTGTGTGTGTGTGTGTGTGTGTGTGGTATGTGCTTGTTTGTGTGTTGGTGTGTATATTTGTGTGTCTTTATGTCCTGCCTGATTGAGTGTGGCGTGTAAGGGAGGGCATTGGAAATATACAAGCGTTTGCTTCAGCCATCCCCCTTTCCAAATCTTGTACATACAGTATATTGTACTATTCTGTTGGTCAATGATGGTGACCAAGGTAAATAGAGAGAGAGATACTGTTGTTTTTCATAACATAAATGATAAATGTACATAAATATAACTGCAATAGTATAGACAATGCCCAATGGATATGCCCAGTGAGGTTTCAAGACACAATATATGTATATACAGTATTCAAACAGCAGCAGTTATATCAAAAATGACACAGGAAACTTAAATTAGACACACACACAGTGAGTTCAACTAAAGCTGAAGCAAAATGTTGAGGGCTACACCAGGACTAAAGCAAAACTCCAGAAGACTTCAGGACACTGCTGCTCTGTTCTGTCCGCGTCACAGTGGAGTCCTCCAGCTCCAGACGAGAATGCAGCTTTTCACCACCAGGAAAAAGATGATTCAAAATAGCCTTCTATAAACAGACCGCTCTAAAGGAAAAGCTTTGGATATTGACGTTTCAATCCAGGGTTGACGGCGAGTCTTTTGTCAAGGGCAGAAGGGTCTAAACTTGGTGAACTTGGTGAAATGAAGTCTGGCATGTCGGGATACTCACAGAATGCCTTGGAACGCTGCTGGAACCAGAAATATTCCACTTACAAACTATGAACGCTCTGCTAATGATTGTACTGAAGCCTTTGGGAAAAGTGTCTCTCAAGACAAAGTAAAGAACTTCAACAATTTGTAAATGAAGAGATTGACTATTGGACATGACAGTGAGGAACACATACCAAAGTTGATTAACGGTAAAACTTATAATGGATGCACTTCGTAAATTGTTGTGCAAAAATGAAGAGTGGAATGTGAACAAGAGCCGCCACGAGCAAATCAGACGAGTTTTCAAAGTGATTGTGACAAGTTTCCTCTGACAATAAAAGGAGGAGCTCAGTCCTTTTAGTAGATTTGCATGATTCAGGTATTCTCCAATCAGGTTTCTGTCGGAGGAATGGATGTGAAATTCCTATTCCTCCGACCTCCACCGGTGGCACGGTGGCTGAGTGGATAGCACTCTCGCCTCTCAGCAAGAAGGTCCTGGGTTCGAATTCCTTTCTGAGTGGAGTTTGCATGTTCTCCCCATGTCTGCGTAGGTTTCCTCCATGTACTCCGGTTTCCCCTACCACTAAAAATATGTCCAATAGGTCTGGCATGCGCCTCCTGTTCGGCGACTCCGCTCCCATCTCTGTGTGGAGTGAGAGACAAATGCCCAAAAAATAACAAATGTAAACCGCTTTGTGACTCTGGTCTGTGAAAGGCGGTATATAAATAAAGATTACTTACTAAATTAAAGTGCATTTTTCTCAAATACCCAAATTACTCACTTTTTGAGTCACTATATCTACTTGAAGTTTGGAACTGAAATCTACCTCTTTGGGGCTTCTTATTTGGTTTTAGGAACTTTTACCATCAAACTGCATCTCAATCATTACCTTAAAATACCTTAAAAACAGGGGTTAAAAGCGTTAGAACACATCATTAGTGTTATTAGTGCTCCTACATTGTAGAAAATAAAATAAAAATATAGTTGTTTGTTGTATCGGTGCTTTTCCTTTTTGGAAAAATGTGGCCACGTGTTTGGAAGCATTTGGAAGTATGAAGCTAAGCTAAGTATAAAGTACCTTATACTTGCATTTTTATCATGCTGAATTCAGAGATTTTGCTTTTAATTCACTACATGAAACATACCCCAAAAAATACTTCAGTGACGTGCAGTGAGGTTGGTGATTGGTGAGGCCATGACTCAGATATACATCAACAGGACCTGCAGAGCGGCTTATTCACTATTCGTTGGAAAACAGCAGAATATATTCCATGTCTGCATTGTTTGCTTAAACATAACGTATGTAAAAAGGATGTTATATGAGCCTTACCTTATGCATAAACTTTTTACCTCTTCGGTTCAGATCAGTTTCATATTTTGCACAGATAATATTTAAGTGTAGATATGAAATCCTCCATTTGAAGCGAATCCCAGTGAGCTTTATAAAGTAAAAACAAACAAGTGTCCTTCTCTTGTGTTTCGCTAGCTGTCCACAGCCGCCTCTTGGATACATCCGATTTCATAAACCTACCTTCTTACACTTTACTTATCATCCTTATCATTCCTATCATCCATTGGAAGCGTGACATTGGCCTAAGAAGTTTTTAAAACATCTTAAAATGAGTAACATGTATTTTAGTCAAATTTGAAAAGCTTGTAAATAGACTTTATAGCGGAATTGGATGCAGTCGAATTTCTTTCCATGATTATAGGTGAGGCCTTTATTTCAGCTCTCACAGCATTCAGGGGAGAATGTGTTTAGTGCTTCATAAAGACAGTGTGACAAATCCAATCAAAGAGGTGCATGTATCATCAGACTTTATAAGAGCTTTTGTTTTTGATTTATTTACATTCAGCAATATATGTTTTAAGGAATTTTAAACATAATTCCTTCAGTTCGAGCTCTAAAGTGAATGTAATTAGTTTAAAATTAAATGTCTGCTATTTATTCAATAAAAAATATTTTAAAGACACAATAGCTTAGAAAGATTAGCCTTTATTGTCTCCAAATGGCCCTTGTTCACGTGGAGACGGGTTTAAACAGCAACTCCCTCCAGATAATATAATACATCCCTGTCCATACTGTCTGTCTGTGGTCACATACTGCTCTCTACTGGATCACTGCATTATTGCATGGTAAAAATCTCTGACAAGTCCACAGTGGGCACGCTTTATTGACCAGATGCATCAATGTCATCCAGTCACGTGATTGTGAATGAGCTTACGGCGAAAGTATTGGAAACTAGCATTGCTGCGAGAGCAAAACGGACACAACTCTTAAAAACGGAGGGAGGATCCAAGATGGCGGAATGAGCGCACGCTTTGCAGGCTCTGGTCTTAAAAAAGTTTTTTATTTTGTCTTTAAATGTGAGTTTTAGGCATTTCACTAGTCAGAACCAAGACCCGTGTGGTCAAATGTAATTCTAGGTCAGTTTATAAACATTAAGCACCCTTCTGATAAAGAAGAAGAAATCACGTGTATGATGGAGGACCACGACTATACGCTAGCCAGCCCCTTACCGGAGGATTCAGCTATTGATTTTGACCCGTCTGCAGATTTGTTGGACCAGGAGCTTACTCACATGCCAACAAAGGCTCCCGTCTCCAAAAAGAAGAAAAGAGACAAACCTTGTGAGGAGAGCGCCATGGAATCGATCCTGAAAGCTGTTTATGAGGTGAAAGTAGCCTTGGAAAATCAGTCGGGTGTAATAGGCCAAGCCTGGCCCTTTAAGAGCGGTGCATTGTGGGATGTCTTGGGTCTGTGTAGTCCGTTGTTTACGCGCTCAACGCTCTGTTCTGCAGTGGCCTCTCTTCATTAAGGCTCCTCTGTCATGCTCCTGTTCTATTTTTGGAATAAAAATACGTCTAACGAGTACTACGCCTGTTCAGCCTCTGTACTACGGTTAAGAGATCACTGGGCAGGGGAAGAAAAGTAACACTGGGGGCTCGAGTCCGGGATCCGTCTTTGCAAGTCCGGAGAAAATACAGGGACCACGACGAGAAAAATGGCGGCGCCTGTTTACCGTGAAAATGGCAATGCGGATTTTAAAACACGTTCGAAGGTAACAGAGCATAACAAGAGCACCAACCCGTTTTGGCCAGAGTTGGCAGAGACTGAAAGAGCTATGCTAAATATGATGGTTCGTAATAGAAACGAGATCAGCCCGGTTGTCAATAGTGGAGCTATTAGCTGCGCAGAACGAGCACCGTGGGCCGACGCAGCAACAAGGGGCGTTATGGCCGCCCACACCGCCACCATCGGCACACACAAACCCCTTCCTGACCCCCGCGGACACGGTCGGTTGTCAATCTAGGACCGTCCATTATTCTGACGACTACAAATTAACCCCATTTGTGACAAAGAACGATGTGAATGAAAACACAGTTTTCCAGACTCTTCCTAAGCCCATTAACTGTGACTGTGTAGCCGGTTTGCCTACTCAACCCCACAGCGGGCCATTTTTTCTGCCAGATGCCGCCATCAGGTTTAGCGCTCCGGTCCTAAGTTCCAGCCCATACCCGTGCCTTCCTGGGAGGCCAAGTGTGAGTACCCATGAATGTGACCCAGGTCGT